CAGGCATGGCCTGTAGTGCAGGCTGTGGGGGCAGAGACAGGAGGATCACTGGGGCTTGCTGGCTACAAGCCTAACTCCAGATTCAGTGAGACCCTGTCTCAAGGGAATAAGGCGGAGGCTAATGGAGGACAGTAAATGTCCTTTGGCCTTGGCACCACCCACATACCACACAGACATACACGCAGACACACACACACACACATAAATTAATTAACAGACACACACACACACACAAACACACACATAAATTAACTAATTAAAACTAACATGATGGCACATGCCTGTAATCTCAGCACAAGGAGAGTGGAGACAGGAAGATCAGAAGAAGTTCAAGGTAATCCCTAGCCAAGAGTTTGAAGCCAGCCTGGGCTACATGAGACCCTGCCTTAAAAAAAGAAAGAATTAGCCGGGTGTGGTGGTGCACACCTTTAATCCCAGCACTCCGGAGGCAGAGGCAGGCGGATCTCTGTGAGTTCCAGGCCAGCAAGGGCTACAGGGAGACCCTGTCTCAAAAAGACCAAAAAAAAGTTCCCCTCTTGGCCCAGCCTGGTGGTATCACTGAAACTGGGAGACTAAGGCAGAGGACTTGAAAGTTCAAGGTCTACCCAGGTAACTGAGTGAAACCATGTTTCAAAGGGGAGAGGGCTGGGGCTCAGTGATAGGGAGACCACTCACCTAGCATACGTGTAGCCCTTGGTTTGATCCCAGAACTACAATAAATAAGCAATTAATAAAGATGTTAGCCGAAGAGCTCAACGACTCATCAAGCCGGGAAGGGTAAGTTTGTGACCTTCTGCACTGCCTGGGAACACACTAAATAAAATGATGCATTGCTTATGTCAAGACTGCTAAAATAGAGACATTTTCTAAGATAGAATTTTTATGTTCTCACCAAAAATAAATAAACTGGTGGGGTGATAGGCATGTTCATTAGCTTGGTTGCATCTTTCTATAAACATATACATAGGTAAAAAAAAAAAAATCACACCATGCTCCATAAATTTGCATATTTGCCACTTAAAAACAAGACCAAAAAAAAAAAAAAAATCAATGCTATAACATGAAGAATACCTCCAAGCTGGGCATGGTGGCGCACACCTTTAATCCCAGCACTTGGGAGGCAGAGGCAGGCAGATCTCTGAGTTCCAGGCCATCTGGGGCTTCAGGGAGACCTTGTCTCAAAACAAAAAAAAATCTCCAATCAATGATCAACATGAGACATGGGAGAAGCCCAGAGAAGTCCCTGAAAATGGGGAAAACAACATAAAAATAGCCACTATTATTATTATTGTCATTTTCCAAAGAAGGAAGGAAGAGCTTGCAGGTCTAAGCAGCTTGCCCAGGGAGTTGCTAAATGGGGAAGCTAAGGTCTGACCAGACTGAGCCAATGTGGCATCAAATGCTTGCAGTATACAGTACTAAAGATTCCATGCGGCCAGAAGCAGGGATGTCTGAACTCAATCTAACAGTTGTCTGGCCAGAGGTCATTGTACCTGAGTGCCCCATAGTCTTGAGGAAGATCATGTGAGCGGCTAGATATGGGGGATGGAGGGAGGGACAGAAAGTGTGTAGGACAGAAAGTAGTCAGGATGGTGGTTCAGTGCTGCCCTATGACAGGCTGGAGAGATGGTTTGTTTCAAAACATTAATGTGTCTTGGAAAAGCAAAGGAATTTTCAAAGACAAGTCATCTCTCATTCTCTTTCTTCATTCACAAGACCAGAAAAGTGGTATTTCTGGTATGGGCTAGAGGCAGAACATTCTATAAATACAAAGCCATTAGATCTCATGCAGCAGAAACCTGATCAGAGTCTCCTTTTAATTTCCTGACATGAGCTGGCCACTAACCCAATTACCCAGAATCCCTGGAGGAGCCCTCCGTCTCTCCAACATGCACAAAGAGAGTGGAGCTTATTGCGTGGCCGTCAGCCCAGCTCTCACTGAAATCAAATATCTTTTAGAAAACACTTGGGGAGCGGGCAGGAGGGGCTGAGGAGGGCAGGGAACAGCAACCAGGATGTGGGTGGCTGGAAGCAGAGAAAGTCGGGAGAGAAGGTGGCAGGGCCAAGCTAGTTAGGGAGAGGTACTGAAGTCTCAGAAAGTTGGGCGCATCCTAGGAGATGTGTTTTCAGAGTTGGAGACTGAGTCAGTCCACACTGGAGATGCCAGGGGACTATCTCATCCCATCCTGGTTCCAGAACCCAGAGGGGACCAGCCTAAGACAATGCCACTCCCTGAGACAAACAAATTCAGGAAGATGAACAGGTTCAGTCTGCCTCACTGAACTTGATGGCCAAGGTGCAGAAAAGCCTAGTGTGAGCCAGGCATCCCAGGGACTGACATGTCAAGGAAAAGTCACAATTGTCCTACCTGATCCTCACTTTTTTGTGGTGATGGACAACATGTATCAATGTCCCCGCCATGCAGGTGAAGCAATGGAGGCTCATGAGTGTGAAATACGACATCCAAAATCTAAAGAGAATGCCAGCCACCAACTCTTAACCCAGTTCAGATTTTGTATCAATTTTCCATTTAAAGAAAAATGACTACTTTCCTTGAAAATATGAGTTTTCATACGGAGACTTTGCTTAAAGGAAGACCTGGGATGCTTCCTGCATCTCCCTGTCTGCTCTGGACATCCCTGGACAGTCAGGGAAAAGCCAAGGGAAAGCTACATGGGAGGGACAAACCTCCATAACCACTTGACGCATCTGATCATCTTTGATCCTGAGACAGGACACCCCGTGTGACCTCCTCTCTGGTAATTATTTTACTAAGAAACAAAAAGTTATCAAAGGCATCTCAGGAAGAGGAAGGAAAACGAGGTCTGATGGACAGATGGAGGGGAGAAAAGGGCCAGGGGTACTCACATTCCCCGCTCCTCTCTAAGACTCTGTGGACCTTGCTGCTTAGCCTCCAGTTAGACCCCAGCCTGGGAAGCAGTGCAGGGAAGCATGAGCTTTGCCCTCCAGAGTCAAGTCAGAGACTGAAGGAAGACAAGGGGAAGCAGGAGCCTGAGCTGGCCCTGGGGATCCGGCCCTGTAGGCACAGCCAGGAGGGACACCCAAACAAAGGCAGGAGCCAGGGCAGCTGCCAAGAGCTCTGCCTGGCAGGGACCCAGGCTCCGGCAGGAGGCCCGTACCTCCTGGAGGCTGGTCCCCACGGACCTTCTGATCCCAGATATCACGGAGACTCCATGGGGACTTACACAGGGCTCTGCTTTACCACATTCAGGAGGCTCTCTGCCAGTTTTCTCTTTTTGGATTCAGACCTGCCAGCACTGGAGGTGTGCACTGTCCTTTTCTCCTTCAAGCAGAGCTCCCTAATGGGTTCAGGATCTCTACCCAGAGGACAGCCGGCTGCCACAGGTAAGGAGGGGCTTTCAACTCTGGGGTTTATTTGGACAGCATGTATCCCTGCAGTGCTCTACTCCAATAGAGAACCACAGCATCCTTGGGCTTCTCTTTCAGGAGCCAACCAGGTGTTTCCCCAACTGCCCTTCAATGTGCTTGACCACACCCTCTTGTCACTAGGGGTCACTACAAGTGCCTTCCTTTTTCCTAGCACTGGATAGCCCCTAAAAAGACTTGTGAGCACAGGAACCATCTAAAGATTTTGAGTGGTGGTCCTCCCCAACCCACTCCAGGAAGCTTTCTCACCCCAACCCCTGCAAGGCCGTATCTGTCACCTTAATGGGAATGGGTAAAGGTGCATTGGTGCATTGATAACAGGGCGACTGCCTTCAACTCTGAATCCCTCAGACACCAGAAAGCAAGGAGAGGCACACTCTAGCCAGGAGAGACTCTGCACAGCCTGTGCTGGTGTCCTCACTCAGCTTCTAGAACAAGAACTCCATCTCTATAACTTAGAAGGAAGGCGTCTCTCCAAGGCCTAGAAACCCTGGGGCTCCCAGCACCCCACAAACAGAAGGGATTTTAAAGCCCAACATGCTAAAAAGACTGAAGAGGTAACTAGGACCTGTTCCAAGAGGTTCCACTTTACAGATGCAGATCATAGGCTGAGCCCAGGTGAAAAGGGACCTGAAACTTTCCTTAACACATGAAAAGTCATCCAAGCAATCTTAAGGCAAAGTATCTCAAATCCAGACTCCTCTCTAGAGGACATGGGGGAGTGGGATGTTCCCAGGCCTGCTGAAGTTTGGGCTAAATTTAGGAGCCCCATAATCTCACCCTGCCATTCCCAGGGAGGACTGGACTCCAGAAGACCGCCCCCCCTTTCTCTTTGCCAGTCCTGTTCCTCATGCACACACACTTCTCCTGCTTTCTTCCACTTTGGGAAGGGTTCCAAGGGTTAGAAGTCAATCTGTAAGAATTTTCACTAGCTTTTTCTGAAAGTTGCAAAGGGATACATACATGTACACAAGCAGTTATGCATGTTCATACATCACACAGACACATACTGCCCATTCCTAAAACTGTATTGGAAAAAACTAGGCAGCTCTCTGAGGATGGGGAAGAAGGAGATAATGAGCTTCATGTCACACCTCAGATGGGACAAAAACTCAGTTAACTCATGGCCACTGCCCTGTGCAAGTGTAGAGGAGAAAGAAGGAACTGGGAGAGGAAAGAGAGAGAAGCCAGAGGATGGAAAAACACTCACCAAGCAAGAGCCATGTCCTGACCCCTACTGGCCAGAGGCATGGCACCTGCACACCCCCAAACTTGAGGGCCCACCTATGCCAGGTGGAGAGGGGACTACTCGAAATGAGGACTTCCAGAATGACAAGCCAACAACTGTCCAGGATCCAAATAGGGTCATGAATCCTAGAAGGATCCTTGGAAACTCCCAAGTCCTACCATGCTAGACCAGGTCTCTCGAAAGGAAAGAGAGCCCAGAAGACACAGTGCCAGGATGTAAGATGGCTTGTAGGATCATGTGCATACATGCTGCCCTCATCCTGTGGGTATGGTTCCACAGGGCTAAAACTCCTCAGAGACAGCCAAGAGGAGCCTGACCCTGGCGGGTGGTGGGGGCTTCTTACCTTCCTTCAGCATCCCTACTTTGAGGCATTTCATGAAGCGGCAGGCCTGGCAGGACTTGCGCCTCCGTTTTGTGATCTCACATTCGTTGGTGGCCGGGCAGCTGTACTCGATGTTCCCTGCAATATAGAGAGGGTTGCCAGGTGCCTGATGTTCATCCAGGACCCCAACCCACCAGGATGACTGTCTGGGGATTAACTAACTTGTTACACTCAAGGACACACAGGGCAATGCTTCTAGAAGCCTGTGGGTCTGGGTGGGGCAAGCAGCCACCTGGAAAAAATCACTCCTCGGAGAATGGTCCCCCACAGCTCTGAAACAGCCAAACAGGGACATCAAAATGCACTAAGCTGGCATTTTATCCCAGGAAGAGAACTGTCCTTGTGCTGTGAACATCAACACAGACTACCACCCCACCCCTCTCGGCTACTCCAGTCTCCAGCCTCGGTCCATGTCACTGGGAAAACCTTCATGAAAACTGTGTCAGGGCCTGGACTCTGCCTCCACTGGGGACCAAGCCATCTGGCTTTGCTACCCTTGAAGAAATCACTTTGGTCTCACCAAGCCTCAGTTTCCTTGTCTGCATTAACAGTTGTTTTCCCTAAGGAAGGATTAAGCAACAGCCTATTTGCAAAGATGCCTTGAAGAACAAGAGTTCAAAGTCATCCTTGGCAACTCATCTAGTTCAAGGCCAGTCTGGGCTAGCTGAGACCTTGTCTCAAAAAATACAAAATGGAGGGCTGGAGAGATGGCTCAGTGGTTCAGAGCACTGGCTGCTCTTGCAGAGGACCTGAGTTTGATTCCCAGTACCCATATGGTAGCCAAAGACCATTTGTAACTCCAGTTCCAGGGGATCTGACCCCCTCTTCTGACCTCTGGAGGAATTGCATGACATGGTTGCACCTATCTACATGCAGGCAATACACTCATACACATAAAATAAAAATAATAATAGCCGGACATGGTGGTGCATGCCTTTAGTCCCAGCACTCGGGAGGCAGAGGCAGGCAGATCTTTGTGAGTTCAGGGCCAGCCTGGTCTACTTAGTGAGTTCCAGGTCAGCTGGGGCTATAGGGAAACCCTGTCTCAAAAAGACCAATAATAATAA